GAATATGATCTTATAATTTTTCTGTTCTTGGTAAGAAAATGTTTATTTTTCAGCTTTGAATCTCACACATCTCAGCAGATAGATTTTGTAGTTGCCAATTAAAAGACATTGTTCAGCACTCCCCTGCATAATAAACCAATATTTTTTGTCTTTTTACAACACATCAAAGTGTATTTCTATTGGAATTCCTCTAACATACTCATCACCAAACTGTAACCCTGAGACTTCATTGAATTTGTTTGCACTTTATCTGTTATTATCACTGAGGGCCCAGCTTAAAATCTAGGTAAAGAAAGAAAATGTGAGGTTTCTTCTCTAAAGAATATTGCAAAACAGAGATCAAAGACACAATTTCATTTCTCAATCTGTGCAATCTAACTTAGCTTACAATTAAAGAATGATTTTAAATTGTCAAACTTTTAAATTTTATTAAATGTTTGTGGCAATGCATCGAATGAATTCCAGACCTATATAAATACACAGGCAGCTGTTTGTAATTTGCATTTTTATCATTTTTGAAAGAGCACAATGTACTTCCTGCATCTTATTTTCAGAATTTGCATTTTATCATCTTTGGCTACCCAGTATATAGTATGGAGTACTTGAATATCTCATTCTTTGAATTTTCATTTTTGATTGTAAATCAGATGATATCTGGCACAGAATTTTCTCTTTTCTCATTTTTCTCTTCTCTCAACCTCCAGATTTACTTGCTCCCATTTCTTCTTGGCTCTAATAATAAAACACACAAAATACTTCAACTATTTTCTTTTTTGGCATTTTTCAAGATACCAACGTTCTGCATTTCTTTGGCTAATTACTTACCATACATCTAAAGGCAAAACAAAACCTAAGCTCATTGTTTAATTCATATATTTTCCAAAATGCTATTCAAACTAATTCCATTTCTTTCCAAAGCTTACTGTGTTTTGAATTTGGATGGAGGGATGAAAAGAGATGGAAATAATACTACATATAAGGCTGTATCTTGGTGCACCCAGAATGAACAGAATGAATGTTCCATCCTACAGAGACAGGCACCTCCAGTCACAGCAGCTATATCCTTATCAGAAAGGACATGTGGCCCCAAGGGAAGGCTGACATCTCTAATCGCCTTCAGCTCCTTTCGTTGGTTCCTACATATTTTCCTCTCCTGCTGCATTATCCTCATAGCATCGGACAACATTTTCCCAAAAGCCTCCTCTTGCCCATTAACACGTCTACGGCCTTGGCTCTGAGATATTCCTTAGCGGAACAGACTAGTGGCAGCTTGTGCTTTCTGCCTCCTCTCTCCAGCAGTCCATCTGTCCCCTGGGAAATGCTGAAATCGCGCCTCTGTGCCCTAGCACGAAATGGAGGGGGGAGGAAACACAAGCTAATCTTTCTCTAGTCTGATGATGACAGCAACAATTGGAAAGGATAGGAATTTAGGGGTTACAAATTTCCCAGTCAAAAGCTCAGGTAAGTAAGAAAACGATTTTTATAATTCTATTTAATTTCTTGACTCTAAGTCCCCATTCTGCCTGATGTAGAAAACTTATTTAGTCCTTTGCACATAGACTTAGTCCAATTCAGTGATTTCTTAGTTATTTCACATTTGTATTTCAACCACATTCAGATTTGAAATTCTTTCTTGGGACTTTTTTTCCCCTCCCTCTCCCATCTCCCTGCTGTTTATCCTAATTTCTAGGGTTGGTACAGGGAAGAATGATCGCTGCTTTGTGACAGCTAGGAAGAGAATATTATCTCAACAATCATGGGTCTCCACAAGGCCTGGGTCCGGTGCTGGTGAATGGTGGCCCAGACAACATAGCATAAGGTTTCTCAAACTTTAATGTGCATCTTAATCACCTGGGGGACTTGTTAATATGCAGATTTTAATTCAGTAGGTCTGCTATGGAGATTCCACATTTCTAACAAACTCCCAGGTGATGTCATTACTGGTTGCCCTCAGACAGTACTTCAAGTCCCAAGTAACAAGTGGATGATTTGGGTTATCATCGGCTCCCTGGCAGAGCAATCTTTTGAGATTCTAGTTGAGTGCTCCCCTCCAATAGGACCGAACCACAAAGGCCATCTTCTAATGCTATGCTTGCAGCCCCAGCCAGGAGACTTTGTGTAGACCCGTTGGCCCTTTCCCAGGAACTCACTCTCACTTGAAACTCACAAGAATATGTGATGCCCTCCCAAGCAAATTTGGGGCTTGGGAATCCCAAGAGACTTTCTCCAGCCCTCTCTCATGTTAGACATGGCTTGCTCCCCCCACTCCCACCAATACATGGCACTGCTAAATTCTCTCCAAAGCTTTTCTCCCTTGGCTGTATCTGGGAAGTGCAATGCAGATCCTCCTTATGCTCAGAGTTTTATAAACCTCAAAGGGAAATCCATCACTGACTTTCTACCCGTAGGCCCTGGCATAGCTGGAGGTGATAAGAGAAGAGCAGAAGGGGACTGGAATGGAGTAAGTGGCCCCACACTCTCTCTGGTCTCTTGCTGCCTCTGCATGCCCTCCTCCTTGCTCTATAGATTGAACAAAAAAAAGTGCTTTTATAAGCTCACATCCCCTGTCACATTCCCTTTCCTGTGCCATACATGGATGGTACATGTTTCACACTCTGAAGTGACCCCTTCTTCCACCAAATCCTTCTGTAATTCATGTCTGACTACCTGGGATGAGAAAGGAGAAGACTGCTGGGATATAAGAGCAGTCACCAGGAGAGGGACAGGGATGAGGAGTGCATCTTTAAATATTCCAGATAATATCACACCCACAAGGAAAGCACAGGAGAAAAAGATGCAGCTCAACAATTGTAGTTTTAGCCAGGATTTCTACCAACTTTTCATCTCCTTCCCCCCAAAATTAAGTGCAATCACATGTGAAAACCCAAAGTAAGCTCAGAGAAAATATAGTCAAGGAAATAGCACGGCAGCAGAGTTCTCTTAGAGTACCATATGATTTGGAAAGAAATCGGAGAAAAAAGAAAAGCAACTGACTTCACAGTTAAAGTCAAGAGTTTTGAGAAATACTACTTAAGATCTCAGTTTTTGTTTTTAGAAAGTGGACAGTTTCTAATCTGGATGTCTGGGTTCATTCTGGGAAGTTCTAATATAAAAGTTTATGGATTTCAGATGATTCTGAAAGTTCTAGGCTAAAGATATAAGTAGGAACTCCTTATTTAGAACTTTTTCTGAAAGATTCATTTTTCTGGAGTAACTGAAACCATTTTATCCTGTGTGGTTTTCCAAACCTACTGTGCCAGCCCCAGGATAAGCTTGGAGAATACATCAAGCTTTTTAGCAAAAGAACCACCTGAGGTCAGGTCTGCTTCAAACCTCCACCCTGGGAGGTTCCCTGGATTCCCATACTCTCCCAGAGAACAGAGCACACCAAGGGGGACACCATAGTCACTCAGAACTTCCTGGCCTGGAAACTTCATCTTAGGTGCCCTGTTAGTCTGCACCAGCCAGTATTTGTCCATGGTGGATATAATAGGGCTTTAATATTTTGTGTCAAAATATGGTTTTATATATTTGCTTTGTAGTTCAGCAAAGAATTAATTTTAACATATAATTGGTGCAACTGTTGCTTGTCTCTAAGGATAGAAGTATATCAAAAGATTTCTGATGACATAAAAATAGGCAAAGGAGAGCACAATAAAACAAAGTAAAATTAAATTGCTAGTAGACAAGATATCTACTGAACTCCAAGTAATTGTGTTCATAAAGCATGAAAATTTCCTGAATTTTTCTAAAATGTGTTTCCTGACCTTGAAACTTAAAAACTTACCATTTGTTTTTAGAATGATACATTAAAATTACTAGTAAATATTTACCTGTATATATCTTTTCAGTTTTTGAATATGTTTTTGAAAAAGGAATTCTTTTTCGCCAGGCTGAACCATTATATGATGTTGACATATATTTATCTGAGAAAAAAGAAGACAGGAATTAAATATTTTATAACTTCAAAATCATATTCCAAGAGTGTCTTAAAGTTATAAATATCTCAGAGATGAAGCTGTTCTTCTAAGCAATTTATTTTAGCATTTCAAAACTAAGGCATCAGGGACCCAAGTGAGTTTATTAAGACCATTTATGATGGGGTGCCTGGGTGGCTCAGTTGGGTAAGCATCTGCCTTGAGCTCAGGTCATGACCTCAGGGTCCTGGGATGGAGCCCTGTGTCAAGCTCCCTGCTCAGCGGGGAGTCTGCTTGTCTCCCTCTACCTCTGTCCCTCCCACCTGCTCGTACTCTCTCTCAAAGAAATAAAATCTTTAAAAAAAAAAGACCATTTATGTTATCAGTGAACATGGATGGTTATGCACCTCTTAACTGGCTGTCCAGTTCTTCAAATAAGGCTCTCTCCCATGAGGCTAAGCTACGGGAGAGTATGATATCTGGATGTGATCAAAATACTTCATTGCCTTGCTTTACAATCCAATTCTGCTAATGCTTGTAGAAGAAAGAAAGAAAAAGAAGAAAAGACCTAGAAGGCACCTCCAATTCCCTTTACCTTCCGTGAGGTGACTCCCATGATGGCAGGGAATACTCGACCATAGTGAACGTTCTGTCCCAGGAAAGCAAAGCCTTGATATACTGACTTGGTTCTTTAATATCTACTTTCCTCTGACAACTTTATATTTGAACTATTACCTAACAATGTTGTATTTGTGTTTTTAAGTATTACTATGCAGCTACGGTTCTCAAAGCATGGCTCATAATAATACTAAGAATTTATTTGCTTTTTTTCCTTGTTAACATTTGCACTAATGACACAAAAGCAATAGTGAGCATAACTGTGACCACCTTAGCACAAATCCAGACAACCATTCACTCCCAGTAAAATGATAATAAAATAATAATAATAATAAATAAGACGGTTTCACCCAAGAATATCCTTATTTTTGTATATAAACCCATATATCATTTTATTCTAAAACAAATAGAAGAAATACAATTTAAAGAAAGCTAACTTCTATTTAAATTATAAAAGAAAGGACCTAAGAGAGACATTGAATTTTTACTTGTGTTTCAGAAAGTACAGAATATTCAGAACCCCACTAACTAGACTGGGAACACAAGAAAATACACGCATGAAATTAGAGGGAATTAAGTTGCCTCATGTTAAGTTGAGAGAGCTGAAACCCAACTTCAAAAAAACAAAATTCATCCAAGACAGGAAGAAAAGATGTAGTTCCCTCCTCCATGGTGGCCTTGTACATATACTATGACTTTGCCTATTACATGATGAAATGATTTAGGAGCAATCTGTGCATGGTGGGAGAGATGAGAGGTTGCCAAAAATATTGTAGTTAACCCCCAAACTAACCCTTTCAGAAAGTAATCATGAAGACTTAAAGAAAAGCCAAGGCACTAGCCTGAAAGTGATGATTGAACAATGCAGTTATTGGAAGAAGAAAATGTCAACCATTTGAAAACAATCCTCAAGAGTGAAATAAAGCTATCCAGGGGGGGAACAAAGTGCAGTGCTCTGAGACAAAACTCTAGTGAGGTTCAATGTCTAGTCGTCTGTACCCAACACATTTTCTAACATATCCTTTAAACCATGTGCATTCCTGCTCATGGGAGAAATCCTCTCACCAGTTTTCTAAGATGTCCTGGTGTGGTGATGGCCTGGAAACAGAAAAGGGGGGCGGGTGGCAATGAAGATTAGTTGGACCATCACGTAATTCCATGGGGATGCAAACCATGGACATGAGTAAATCACATACCAAAAGAGCTTTACCTGGACAGAGGCTGAATTTGGGTTCCTTGTTAACATCGACTTTATTGTAGGACCCATTTGTGGGCCTGCTGCGGGGGGGTGCACTCAGTGAGACGGTCCTGATAGCATCTCTCTGAACGTGGATATAGGATGTGTTCTCAGCATTTCTGTTTTTATTATTGCGATGGTAAGTCATTTTATTTTTGGGATTTGGGGCCTGTACTGCTGTAAAGGAAAGGGGGAAGGGAGTGAGGGATAAAACAAACTGGTATCATACCCATAAATAACATACTGCAGGTTAAATGTTTGATAGCACTATGGAAGGCAATGTGTGCAAAAAGAACTAAATTTATAGGAGTTGGGTTGACATCTAAAATAGCATGGTACACAACAGCAATTTGCTTTTCAGATAGGAAATACTAATTTATATTTGATTTCTTAATTCTGTTTCAAATTATAATTTAGAAATATCAAATATGAAGATACTTTACCTCTCCGCATTCCTGGGCCAGGAAAATTCTTTGGTTCATCATAAATCCATTTTCTTTTTTTCACACCTTTAAAGTGAGGCTTCCTCACTGGCTGGACATCATTCACTTGAAGAAGATACAAATTTTTATAGTTTTTTAAGAGATGCTTTCATCTGAAAATTACTGTAGGTGATAATTACATATCTGTGCATTCACATGTCAAGCAAGAGAAAAAAATAAATGCACTACTCTAATACTTTACTTTCTAGAAGAAAGGGTGACTTATTTCTTAAAGTACCCCCCGCCCCCCCAAAAAAAACTATCCTGGAAATTGGTTGATGAGAAAATTTTCAATATATAGCATTCCTCAGGGAAGAAATGCTCTTCCCCAAAGGAATGTGTAAATTGTTTAAAAGACTATAAAATTACAGGGGCGCCTGGGTGGCTCAGTTGGTTAAGCGACTGCCTTCGGCTCAGGTCATGATCCTGGAGTCCCTGGATCGAGTCCCGCATCGGGCTCCCTGCTCGGCAGGGAGCCTGCTTCTCCCTCTGACCCTCCCCCCTCTCATGTGCTCTCTGTCTCTCTCATTCTCTCTGTCTCAAATAAATAAATAAAATCTTTAAAAAAAAAAAAAAGACTATAAAATTACATTCCAAATATAACTATATATCTCATTATGTTATTTTTAAGTAGTTTTAGAATTGTTATTTTGAACATAAATCTACTTCTTAAGAAATTAGATTAATATAAAATACTTTTAGTGAATATTACTTTATTCTTTTAAGTTTTAAGAATTTGGGTGTGTAGTTAGTTTGGAGAAACAAGACTAAGTAGTCAGAATTTCTAAGTGCTAAGATCACTAAATTCACTTTTTACTGGCATATTTTTACATTGAAAAATTTATATACAAGCTCAGTTTTCTAGGAATTTCTAAGGGACATTTCTCCAGAGAATCTTAAAACAATTTAGTAGACAGGGGAATTCTTTGTTATTTCTCACGTGTGGAGATCCTGAACATTGACACGTAACTACTGCACAGAGAAAATGAACAAGTTCACTATGTAGATTACATTAGCTCTCTCTAGTGGACTAATAAATCTGTCTTTGCCCTAGCTCTCAAGTTCAGCTTAAGCGTGAAGTTTGAATTCTGATTCACCACCTCCTCTCCAAACATCATGCTCTACCCTTACTCTCAAGCCCCCACTCCTAGGATTTGGAAACCATATTTTTAACAAATGTCACTAAACTGAGCTGCTTAGGAGTAAACCATCATGGTTTCCTTCAATGCCTGGCTGGCATCCAAGAACATTATAGGGCCTCAGGAAATGAAATAAGGGAAAGAAGGAAGGAAGGAAACAGAAAGGAAGATTCATGAGTCTTAATTGTGTAAGAGAAGTAGCTCAGAATACTGAATGGCCTGGAAAAGCCAAATCATGAAAAATAATCCAAAACATAGTAAAAACCTGTCAATGTATCTCACTATAGGTTAAATTTAAAATGCTATACTAATGAATCTTCCGAGAAGGTAGTATATCATTAATTTTAATACCTAAATTAAACTAGTGGGAACGTATATAATTTACTAGGACCTACATCACAATTCTTTGTCAGAGTTAGTAGAAGAATATTGTTTTTAATTCTTAATCCTGAATAATTTTCAAACCATCTTTTTTTTTTCTTTTTAAAAATTCTATTTCAAATAAGCAAAACAAATCCACGATAAGACAAATATATCTAAGGCCAAAAAGTGATAGAGCTGATGTCTCACTTGAAGAGGGGTCCTCTCTGCACTTCATACTGATATTCTCAGTAGCATTTAATACATGCGTTGTAGGTACTAGTCGGGTAGTTAGGGAACGCTTTGGATGAGGACTGTCCTTGTTATCTTTTAAAGCAAATTAAGAAAATAAAATGTCAATATTAGTAAAAGAAGCTTTCAGTTGGTATTTCACTTTTCAAACATTATATGATGGGCATACCTCTTTAAAATATATATATGTATATTAATTTTTATAATTCATCACTGAAATTCCCTAATCACTACAATGAGTCCCCAAAATTTGTCACTAACAAAACCTTAAAAATCCAATGTACAGATATTATCTTCAATATACAAATTATGTATTTGTGGCAATATTTTTAATACCATCATATAAAAGAATCAGAAGTTTATTAATTTTAAATCAAGTGTGCTTATTTAAATTAAGTTTCCAGAAATAATTTAAATGTAATAACTTTCATGTGTTCTATGCTTTGGAGCAGGACTGCCCCAAAGAGCTTTATACAATGATGGAAATAGTCTCAGCTTGTACTGTAGGAAATGATAGCCACTAGTCACATGTAGGTATTGAGCACTTGAAACATGGCTAATGCAAGTGAAGAGCTAAATTTTTTTAGCTTTATTTCATTTTAGTTTAAATTTAAACAGCCAAATGCGAATTGTAGCAACTGTTATTAGTGTAGTTAGAATTCTTTTGTTTTTTGTTTTTTGTTTTTTGGGTTTTTTTTGATAGAGAGGAAAAGAGACTTCCATGTCATTTCCCATTGATCTTAAGTGCCTTAACCTATTCTTGAGAACATTTATTTAATGGGGGGGGGGAACAGTAGATGAAATTAGTTAATATTTGGATAGAGAATACGTAAAGCCCGCTAATTACAGGACAGCTATACCTTTAGTCTGTGACTGGAAGAGCCTGCCTAGCAGAGAGGTACCACGTGGGGGATTCTACGCATGGTTTAAGGGGAATATAAAACTATAAAGGATGGATTTTATTATCATATCTCTTGATTATTCACAGACTAGTAATAATCATAAAATGAGGAGGTCATAGATGTCATGAGATTAATACTCTTCACAGTGTTCACAAACAAAGCTTTCTAGGAAAATTCAATCACACTATTTGAAGTTGGAAAAAGAAACTGAAGGACTTGGTTTTACTATTTAACAGAACCAATAACAGTAGAGCTAGCAAGACTCCTAGAAATTACGTAGTACAACAGGCCAATATTTTAGATAAGGAAACTGAAGCTAAAAGAGATGGTGTCATGGTCAAACAATGAGGGACAGACCAGGACTGAAACCTTAGAGTTTCTGACTCCTATTCACTGTATTTAATGTATATTTTTATTTACTATTTACGCCTCTTCTATTGGTCTCTACAAGTGTCAAGTTTTGTATTTAACACATCTACCCAAATTATGAATGGATTAAAATTATAGGCTGGTTCATTACCTTTACTATTTGAACATTTTGACATGGTGATTTCCTTCTCTTCTTTTAAAGCTTCATTTTCATCTACTCCAAGAAATATGATCCTCTGTGGAACATAACAGTCACCTCCTATGACAATACCTTACGGTCAGTGGCCATGGTGGCAGAACGTTGTACAAAACTATCTTCCAACACAAGATTATCCTTTTCTACAGTATACCCTTTCCCCAGTTTTATTTAAACACTTCTCAGTGATAATCACCCACATCTCTACACATATCACATATGTTTAGATTAATACATGTAAATATATGTACATGAATATATAGTATGTACACTTGCATAGAGATAATTGCAAAAAAACTCACATAGTCAACACAATTAATTTTCCTTTAACATATATAAATCTTTACTTCTATCCTTTACCATCCTTTAGAGTTACTCAGAGTAAATATAATTTATCTTCAATATAACATCTTCAGATATATGAGAGCAATTTTTATGCTTCTTAGAGCTCTTCTATTTTCCAAGATAAATATCCATAATTGCTTTAAATATTACTTATATACTTAATTTCCAGATTCTTCACCATACAAGTTACCCTTTCATAACGTAAAATATTTGTTTCAAGTAATCTTCTTTTAAAATGACACACCCATGTGGACTACCATTACAGAAATCAGTGGAGCTACTGTAATAATAGTTGATATTTGTAGAGCATTTTTCTATGTGGCAGACACTACTGAGTACTTTAAATGACTTACCACATTTAATTATCTTCCTATGCTACTCCTAATAATTCAATGTGAGTTTACCTGAGCTATTTGGTACTTGACACCCATTACTGAATCATATTTAAACCTTGTGGCCAACAAAAAACACTTACTTTTTTCTTTGCAATTGGTATCATGTCAAGTCTTTCCCAACTTGAAGAAAATCTACCATTAATGTCTTGAACTTAAATGTAAGAATTTTTGTGTATCACAGTTTGAGTTTACCTTGTTAAATTTGGCTCCTTGATCCAGCATATTAACTTCCAGTCATCTGTAAATTCTATAAACATGTCTCCATTCATCCATTCAATTGTTTAAACATAAAATCATTTATTCTACAAATATTCACAGAGTGCACGTCTTGTGTTAGACATTCTCCTATAGGGATTCATCTACAGCAACTGATTATATACAATTCCAGGCCTCAAGTTCCTTACCCAAAGCCAACAATAAAAATCTCAAGAAGATTTTGAAAAAACGAAATTAGTTATGAGAGAGGAAATTCAGACTCATTTATTATATGGTAATATATTCAGAATCAACTAGTAATAACTTAACTCACCTCCATTTTCAAAAGCAGCAATGTCAGTCCTTGGTTTCCTATCCAATGATGCTTTTATCTCACCTTGCCTTTCAAATAGGCTAAATTTTGTTGGAACTGTAAGACCATCCCCTAAAAAATTAAGAAAAAATTAAAAAAGGAAAAATAAAAAAAAAATCACCCCAGGAACCATAGGCACTTACATAAGTCTACAGTAGAATTCATAATGATAGTAAAAAGTCTAAAAGTTAATGCAAGTATTGTTTGCATAGTGATATGATAAACAATAAATTTATAAATATATGAATTTTAAGCAAATTTTATGATTATCAAGAAAATAACAAGCAGGTTTGTTTTCCTATGTGGATTATTTATTAAATGGCAATTTAAAAATTTAAACAATCTAACATTATTTTGTATGTATATTTAACTTATTTGATGTGTTCTTCATTTAATGAATTTTGTAGTATTTCTTTTGATTATATCTACTTATCATGAACAAACTGAGTGAAAAGTATTAGAGTCTACCACTGACAAATGGTAATTATACTGTGATAAATAATTCTTAGCACTTTTCTTATACATCTCTAGAATAAACTATTAAAAGCAGAATAAGAGAGACATGATAATCTTATGCACCATATGATTCTGGATTGGATTCTAAATCAGGAAAAAAGTTCATTTGGCTATAAAGGACTTTGATGGTACAGCTGGTGAAATTCATTTTAAAAATTCTGTAAATGATATGGTATCAGTGGTAATTTCCTGATTTTGATATTTATACCAAAGTTACGTAAGAGTTATATAGGGGCATCATATCTGCAACTTACTCTTGCACAAATGGTTTAGAAAAAAATCACAATGTGTATATTTAGAGAAAGAAAGAGTGAAAAATCAAATGTGTAAAATACTAACATCTGGGGAAATCTGGTTAAGGCTGTTCATGAATTACCTGAAATTATTTAAAAATAAAAGGCTTTTGAAACCATAATATAAAGTGAAAGTACGTGTAATTATCTTTCTAATCTACCCTTTTTATATTCATTGCTAACTTGTTTTCTTTTCTCCTTGTCTAGGTAATGCGGGCAATGTGCCCTTCTCTAGATGGGGCGCCCACCTATCAGCTGTCTTGACAATCATTCTAACATCCAATGGTATGTTGCTGCCACCTACTGCCATATGTTTAAATAGTTTGCCACGTATGTACTTGAACAGCAAGTATTTTACTCTCGATCCTCTACTTTATCCTACCCTCATCTCAGTGTTGGGAGATTTTCCCAACTATCATTTTTTATTTTTAGGGAGAGGAAAGGACTCAAATCTTCCACTGCAGCAAAACTTTTCGTCTCATCCTAGTGGCAAGACAACTATGTAAACTCATGGCATCCATGGATTTTCTCTGAGTTTCTGGTTTTATATCCAGAAAATAATGTTCTTATCTTGCCTTCAAGGGCAAAATGTTTACCAACATTAAAATAAGATTCACCAAAACATAAGATTCGTGAAGGGCCCAGCCTTGGAATAATCCACCTGCACTGCTTCTGAAATTGCCTGGTACACAACAGGCACTCATTCAACGAACAAATGTATCCTTGTTCTGCCACTGACGTCATTCTGTGATCTCCCTTTTGTCCTTCTAGGGCTAGGTTGTTCTTTCTACTCACAGAGAAAAATATGCACCTATTTCACAGGGAGATTTCTTTGCAAAGAAAAATGAATGGTAGGGCGCCTGGGTGGCTCAGTTGGTTAAGCGACTGCCTTCGGCTCAGGTCATGGTCCCGGGGTCCTGGGATCGAGTCCCGCACCGGGCTCCCTGCTCTGCGGGGAGCCTGCTTCTCCCTCTCCCACTCCCCCTGCTTGTGTTCCCTCTCTCACTGTGTCTCTCTCTGTCAAAAAAATAAATAAAATCTTTAAAAAAAAAAAAATGAATGGTAAAAGCAAGGTATTTACAGAATTACTGCCTCGGGGGAGCCGTGCCGCAACGCGCTTGTGAAGCCTATTAAGTCTGTAGCTCCGCTGGGAAAGCATAATTACATTAAGAGCAGCTTTTCATATTAAATAGAGGTCATCTGATAAAAGCACTTCCTCCTCACTCTCAGTTCTGATGTATTATTTATCATTTAACTCCAGTGTAAATCTTACTAAATAATTCACAGCCTATCACATCAAGTATCTCTTATACATCACCTTGAAATGCTGCCTTTTCATTCCTTACCTTCTTGCAATTCACTGCCATTTTCCAAAGGCTTTTCTAACTCTTTGTCTGCTGTAGAGGCTATGCTTTTTGATGATGAAATATCTGGAGGAGTATGAAATCTGTAGTATTCACCTAATCTCCCATTAGAAAAGTAGGGGTTAGTATATTTGTCACATCAAGCATTAGAAAATCCACAGATGTATGATTTCTTACCAGATTTATAACACATCTCCTTTATTGCTCTTTTTTCTTCAATTTCTTCAGGAGTCTTTGTCCATAAACTAGAAGCATCTATAGGATATTTTTTTTTAATTAAATTGTCAGAAGTCAAATAATATGAAAATATATAATAAATCAGAATGAAAAATCCCAGACATTGTTCTCATGGATTTTTTTTTTTATTTTTAAAATCAATAATTTGCATAATGATAAATGTCTCGAATTGCTATATTTCACGTATTAGAAAAATCAGTTTAAGCAACTGTACATATTTAAATGAGATCTATCTCCCAGCCATCATACAACAAAAACCCTCCAATCCAAATGATCATAAGCATGTATAGACATAGAACAAATTAGAACATAATGAATTGAATATATTAATAAAATTCAAGCTATTTTCTTACTGAAATCTGCCTAAACATAACATATTACCTTATAAACCTCTCACAGTTAAAAAATATGTAAAAAAAAATGGTACAGTTTTTGAATGTGCATTGTAAATCTGAGAAAAGCCTTACTAACCATTTTGTTCATCTCCTTCCTCCTCTTCTTCCTCAAAGTTAGTTTTTAAAACTAAAGGATGGTGAATGGGTCGTGATATATTCTCCTGAGGTTTCAGGGGTTCCTGACTCTGGGTCAGGGGTGGAATTCCTTCCTGAGTTTCTTTCTGTGGTGTGATATCTACAGAGGAAATGCAAAATTTCAGTCTTTTTAAGATATATATTATGTGCATGTTCAATGATCAACAGTGTCCTCCTAATTTACTGCATATTTTATTAAAAGGTGTCTCATCTTATTTCTGGAAAGGTTATTTAAACTAGTAAAAAATATCAACATTTTGTCTGTAAGGTGCAGAAAATATGCTAATTCATAGATTTTATAGGAATTATGACCATGACTTGGTATATCACAATTTAGGTATAAATGCGAAGTGACCGTAAGTATTACTGTATTCTTACATTGATTGTATCTGTGGAATAAGAATAACTTAATCAATTTATAATAAATTAACGAAGACAAATTCAAATAAGGCATAGCTTATAATGGCAGAGTATATATGCCAAAAGAGGAAAAAATCCAATGGTTCTAGTTTTCTGTGGCTGCATGATTACTTGGAAGTGAGAAAGAATGATACTTTTAGTTTTCTGTTTTGGCTGCACATTGGTCAGACTGTCCAAAGTTCTAGGTCACATTTAAATGTCCTGTAACTTTCAAAACTAGCAAGCAATTAATAGAAAAAGTTAGTTAACACATGAATCTTCTATTATCACTAATTCAATCCCCTTTGTTTTCTAAGTGAGTAGTTATCAAATTTGGCTAATTATCAGAATCAACTAAAGAAATTATTCAAAACAGGGGCACCTGGTGGCTCAGTAAGTTAAGCATCTGCCTCCGGCTCAGGTCTTGATCCCCAAGTCCTGGGATCGAGCCCTGTGTTGGGCTCCCTGCTGAGGGAGCTTCTCCCTTTCTTCTCTTCTCCCTCTCTCTCTGCCCC